CTATTTTAATGTAGTTTAGTGACTAGACACTGGCCTGTTGATGCAGTGACTAGACACTGGCCTGTTGATGTAGTGACTAGACACTGGCCTGTTGATCCAGTGACTAGACACTGGCCTGTTGATGTAGTGACTAGACACTGGCCTGTTGATGTAGTGACTAGACACTGGCCTTTTGATGTAGGGACTAGACACTGGCCTGTTGATGTAGTGACTAGACACTGGCCTGTTGATGTAGTGACTAGACACTGGCCTGTTGATGAAGTGACTAGACACTCGCCTGTTGATGTAGTGACTAGACACTCGCCTGTTGATGTAGTGACTAGACACTCGCCTGTTGATGTAGTGACTAGACACTCGCCTGTTGATGAAGTGACTAGACACTCGCCTGTTGATGTAGTGACTAGACACTGGCCTGTTGATGTAGTGACTAGACACTGGCCTGTTGATGTAGTGACTAGACACTGGCCTGTTGATGTAGTGACTAGACACTGGCCTGTTGATGTAGTGACTAGACACTGGCCTGTTGATGAAGTGACTAGACACTCGCCTGTTGATGTAGTGACTAGACACTCGCCTGTTGATGTAGTGACTAGACACTCGCCTGTTGATGTAGTGACTAGACACTCGCCTGTTGATGAAGTGACTAGACACTCGCCTGTTGATGTAGTGACTAGACACTCGCCTGTTGATGTAGTGACTAGACACTCGCCTGTTGATGTAGTGACTAGACACTGGCCTGTTGATGTAGTGACTAGACACTCGCCTGTTGATGTAGTGACTAGACACTAGCCTGTTGATCCGAATGTCGTGGGTTCAGATCCGGACGCTAATGACATTTTTTTTTCTTAGAAATGATCTCGGCTCCCAGGTCGACCCAGCCTTGAGTGGGTATCACGTAGAAGTCATGGGAAGTAAAGACGGTTGACGTGATGATGACCACATCACCCACCAAGTGCCGACTGATCTATAAAATTTACGTCTAGCCCTATATGCCCAATACAGATGAAGGCGTGAAAAGGGGTCTTTTTCTTTTACTTGAAAACAACTTCAAAACATAATTTTCGAGGGAAGATAAAACACACACACTAAAGGGCTATTTTTACCCCGTTGAGGCGCTGGGCGTACACTCATAGACTTATACTTAACTGACCAATCGACGGCACACAACCCTTGATGCAGTTAACATCAGGTCGGTCGAATTTACTTCCCATGACATTATCTCCGAGATGCGAATTTAAACTTTAAACATTCACACCGGAAGGTGAGCGTCGACCCACTACGCCACGACACCTGCCACATACATAAAGTGCCCGCACATTTTTTTTTCTAGAGAAACAAACTAAACTCAAATAGGCGTATAGTGACTTTCTTGAACACTGTGTATAATATTTTCCAAATAAAAGTTAGTTGCGTATCCTTTACAGGACGTTGCAGAACCAATCCTAACAGCCCCTGGCTGTTGTGGGGTTTCTCTAGGCAATTTACATCCAGTAGTTTGCCATTGCTTTCTGGACTGTCGGCTTTCTTGATACCACTGTCGAAACCAACGCAGGGCGCATATCCCGCAGCTGGGATCGAACCAGGCATCCTGGAAGCGAGGCGTTCGCATCGACTTAGCCACAGAGCCGACATGTTTCCACTAACATTTCAAAATATTTACAAATCAAAATTCCAAAACATTAAAAATATCAAGCGTTTTAGAAACTACATTCTGAGAATTTACAAATCAAAATTCCAAAACATTACAAATATCAAGCGTTTTAGAAACTGCATTCTGAGAATTTACAAATCAAAATTCCAAAACATTACAAATATCAAGCGTTTTAGAAGCTACATTCTGAGAATTTACAAATCAAAATTCCAAAACATTACAAATATCAAGTATTTTAGAAACTGCATTCTGAGAATTTACAAATCAAAATTCCAAAACATTACAAATATGAAGCGTTTTAGAAACTACATTCTGAGAATTTACAAATCAAAATTCCAAGACATTACAAATATCAAGCGTTTTATAAACGAAGTTCTCAGAACGCAATCTTGATCAAAGTTTTGAATACAAGGTTATGCGCAAACAAAACTTCCCAAGACACGTCATCTACAGGTAAAACAAAAAGTGCGTCTGAAGTGCCAGGCAAAACACATTTTTCCGCACAAAAAAAAAAAAAAATGGAGACATATTTTGTTTCCTTGAAGATGTTGTAACTAATAAGCTTATCTGAGCATCATTATTTTTGTTCCCTGTTTCGCTCACGTAGCGTGCGCGCTTTAATAATTTAAATTCATGCCAAACTTACATATTTTACCAGTTAGTCAGTTCCACGTGTTGTTGATTGGTTTTCTATCTTCCGATTTCTCATTTGCCCCGGTTATTTTATTTTATCGCATGTTTCTTCAATTTGGTGAAGATTATGATAGGCCAGAAATATTCTCCTCCGTCTTGTGTGTGTGTGTGTGCGCGCGCGCGTGCGCGTTTGTGTGTGCTAACACTGACCGTTTATCTATTCCTCTATCTCTTTCTTATATTTCTCTCCTTTTTTTTTCTTTTTTTACGTTTTGATGTATCTTTCTTTCTTTCTTTTTCTAAAGTCTGATGTCTCTTATCTTTTTTTTTCTTTCTTACCAGTTTGCTATTTATTTCTCCTTTCTTTTTTTTAACTTTAATAGTACTTTCTTTCTTTCTTTCTTTCTGTTTGTGTGTGTGTTGTTTTTCTTTCTTTCTTTCTTTCTTTCTTTCTTTCTTTCTTTCTTTCTTTCTTTCTTTCTTTCTTTCTTTCTTTCTTCTTTCTTTCTTTCTTTCTTTCTTTCATCCACTGAAGTTTGATACGTTTTCCTGGTTTCTTTTGTCATTTATTTCTTCCTCCTCTCATTTTCTCTATATTTTATTCTTTCTTTTATATTTTATGTCTCTTTTAAAGAAATTGATTGTTGTTCTGTTTTGTCAATTTTCTTGTTTAATTCGTTGTTTATATTCTATGCGTGTGGTAATTTGCAATTCTTATTATTTTCCGTTTTCTTTCGTTCTTTTCCTTTGAAGTTTGTTGACTCTTTTTATTTACTTTTAAGTTTTACTTTATAGATTGCTGATTCGCTACCCTCTTTCTCAATGTTTTTCCTTAGGTTACTTTCTTTCATCGTTCGCTTGCGATTTCATTCTTTCTTTCTTGTTTCTATCTTTCTTTTGTGCATTCGTTCTGTTTATCTCATCCCTTTCAAAACTATTTTTCTTACTTTTAGTCTTGCTTTCTGTCTTCTTTTGTTATTTATGACATTTTTTCTATATTTAATCGCTAATGCATCCCATTGTTTTCGACCATGATACTTTCTTATTGTTCTTTCTTAAACCTGTCTCTTTAACACTTTTTTGTAATTATTTCTTGCATTATCTGTGATTATTTTATCCTTCATATCACTTGTTTTTTTTTCCTTTTCCGTTTAGCACTATGGGAGTCGCCGTGGCGTTGGCAACTAGCTGCACGCCTGTGGATCGGAAGGTCGTGGGTTCGGGTCCTGACGGAGCCGCACTTTTTTTTTCAAAAATGACCTGGGCTCCGAGGTCGACCCAGCCTTGAGTGGGTACCAGGTGTGGTCCTGGGAAGTAATTGCGGCCGGTGTGATGCCGACCACATCACCCACCAACTATCGATTGGTCTATAAAAATATAGGTCTAGACCTAAATTTCCAACACGCCTAAAAGCGTGGAGAAGGGACCTTAACTTTTACTTAACTTTTACTTAACTTTCACTTAACTTTTACTCAACTTTTACTCAACTTTTACTCAACTTTTACTCAACTTTTACTCAACTTTTACTTAACTTTTACTCAACTTTTACTCAACTTTTACTTAACTTTTACTTAACTTTTACTTAACTTTTACTTAACTTTTACTTAACTTTTACTCAACTTTTACTCAACTTTTACTTAACTTTTACTTAACTTTTACTTAACTTTTACTTAACTTTTACTTAACTTTTACTTAACTTTTACTTAACTTTTACTTAACTTTTACTTAACTTTTACTTAACTTTTACTTAACTTTTACTTAACTTTTACTTAACTTTTCCCCAGTTTTTATCTATGTCACTGGGATGAAAAAAGTTAATTACTCGCACGATAATGGTATTAAAAAAACAAAAAACGAACCACTGTAGCCAACAGAAAACAATAAGCCCAATGAAGGCTCAGAAAAAAAAAAAGAGGCAAATGCTACACTGAAAATTCCAATCACAATTTAGGTATTAATAATATCTAAATCTATGAAATCTATTAGTCAACGTCTGTGGCTTGGGCGTTGCGAACGCGCTTTGTAATGCCGGGGTGATGGGTTCGATCCCAGCTGCAGACTTTGCGCATTGCGTTGGTTTCGACAGTTGTATCGAGAGCAATGGCAAACTACTGGACGTACAATTTGCTTAGAAAAACCACAACAGCCAAAACATGCTGGGGTTGGTTCTGCAACGTCCTGTAAAGGATACGCAACTAACTTTAATTTTATGAAATCAAATACGGTCTACATATGTGATTGTAAGTGTATGTTCTATTTTCCACGTAATTCCTAGCTATTTCTAAAACGGTAAGGTAAGTAAAGCGGCGTCCGTGGCTTGGGCATTGCGAGTCCGACTCGTAATTCCAGCGTACAGCGATCGAAACCCACTGCTGGCTGCGTAGATTTTTATCATGGTATGGGGCGACGCAGGTCGACCCAGCCTAAAATGGGTAACAGGATGGCTGTCCTGGGGAAGTAAAGACGGCCGCCGTAATGCTGACCACATTACTCAACCAGAGCCGATTGGTCTGTAAAAATATAGGACGCTCTTTCCATATGCCCGATGCGCCTAAGGCGTGAAAAGGGATCTTTACTTTTTTACTTATTTCTAAAACGGGACTCTTGGCGTGGAACCAACGGGACGGCCTGGACATTCCTAAAAAAAAAAAAACGGGATTGTCCCGTACAAAACGGCAACAAGGACAATAACCACACAAATAACAAGATGGCTCACCTTCGGCCTGCTGTTCAATCATGATGTGTGGCTGGAACTTGGAGGAAGAGCAGACGGTGCAGCAGCCGCAGTGATCCTTGATAGCCTGGCCCTCGCAGTAATGCAACTCGGGACACCTGGCCTCGTCACACTCTCCACACCGGATGAAGCTGTTGCTGGCCATGGCTGAAGAAACCAGTTCACTTACACACAGCACCATCGCTATCACAGCTACACAGGACGGAAGGCTGGCGCAAATTGCACTTCGCCTCATGATGTATTGTATTCTTGGAGAATACTTATTATTACTTATTGTTCATATGTCCTGGAGTGATGTTAATTGTCTCACAAACAAGAGAAATCCACGATTTCTACGAAACGCGAACAATGTCTCTTTTCTCCATGTGTCATTTTCTGAAGGTAAACCATACTTAATTTACACCACAAGTAAAGAATTTTTGTTTACCTTTTATTTATATTTGAATGAATATCGTTCATGATACAGGTATCACGGTGCCTGTGCAACACATGGTGGCTACAACACATGGTGGCTACAACACATGGTGGCTACAACACATGGTGGCTACAACACATGGTGGCTACAACACATGGTGGCTACAACACATGGTGGCTACAACACATGGTGGCTACAACACATGGTGGCTACAACACATGGTGGCTACAACACATGGTGGCTACAACACATGGTGGCTACAACACATGGTGGCTACAACACATGGTGGCTACAACACATGGTGGCTACAACACATGGTGGCTACAACACATGGTGGCTACAACACATGGTGGCTACAACACATGGTGGCTACAACACATGGTGGCTACAACACATGGTGGCTACAACACATGGTGGCTACAACACATGGTGGCTACAACACATGGTGGCTACAACACATGGTGGCTACAACACATGGTGGCTACAACACATGGTGGCTACAACAATTGGTCGCTATAACACATGGTGGCTACAACACATGGTGGCTACAACAATTGGTCGCTATAACACATGGTGGCTACAACACATGGTGGCTACAACAATTGGTCGCTATAACACATGGTGGCTACAACACATGGTGGCTACAACAATTGGTCGCTATAACACATGGTGGCTACAACACATGGTGGCTACAACAATTGGTCGCTATAACACATGGTGGCTACAACACATGGTGGCTACAACACATGGTGGCTACAACACATGGTGGCTACAACACATGGTGGCTACAACACATGGTGGCTACAACACATGGTGGCTACAACACATGGTGGCTACAACACATGGTGGCTACAACACATGGTGGCTACAACACATGGTGGCTACAACACATGGTGGCTACAACACATGGTGGCTACAACACATGGTGGCTACAACACATGGTGGCTACAACACATGGTGGCTACAACACATGGTGGCTACAACACATGGTGGCTACAACACATGGTGGCTACAACACATGGTGGCTACAACACATGGTGGCTACAACAATTGGTCGCTATAACACATGGTGGCTACAACACATGGTGGCTACAACAATTGGTCGCTATAACACATGGTGGCTACAACACATGGTGGCTACAACAATTGGTCGCTATAACACATGGTGGCTACAACACATGGTGGCTACAACACATGGTGGCTACAACAATTGGTCGCTATAACACATGGTGGCTACAACACATGGTGGCTACAACACATGGTGGCTACAACAATTGGTCGCTATAACACATGGTGGCTACAACACATGGTGGCTACAACACATGGTGGCTACAACAATTGGTCGCTATAACACATGGTGGCTACAACACATGGTGGCTACAACAATTGGTCGCTATAACACATGGTGGCTACAACACATGGTGGCTACAACAATTGGTCGCTATAACACATGGTGGCTACAACACATGGTGGCTACAACACATGGTGGCTACAACACATGGTGGCTACAACACAGGGTGGCTACAACACATGGTGGCTACAACAATTAGTCGCTATAACACATGGTGGCTACAACACATGGTGGCTACAACAATTGGTCGCTATAACACATGGTGGCTACAACACATGGTGGCTACAACAATTGGTCGCTATAACACATGGTGGCTACAACACATGGTGGCTACAACAATTGGTCGCTATAACACATGGTGGCTACAACACATGGTGGCTACAACAATTGGTCGCTATAACACATGGTGGCTACAACACATGGTGGCTACAACAATTGGTCGCTATAACACATGGTGGCTACAACACATGGTGGCTACAACAATTGGTCGCTATAACACATGGTGGCTACAACACATGGTGGCTACAACACATGGTGGCTACAACACATGGTGGCTACAACACAGGGTGGCTACAACACATGGTGGCTACAACAATTGGTCGCTATAACACATGGTGGCTACAACACATGGTGGCTACAACACATGGTGGCTACAACACATGGTGGCTACAACAATTGGTCGCTATAACACATGGTGGCTACAACACATGGTGGCTACAACACATGGTGGCTACAACACATGGTGGCTACAACACAGGGTGGCTACAACACATGGTCGCTGCAACACGGCCTAGGCTTTGTTCCAAGGAGAGGATGAACAACATCCCTTGCTTTAAGTCAGCTGTTTTCAACCTATGGGTCAGGACCCGTTTTTTTTTTTTAATAGGTCGAACGACCTTTTCACAAAGGTCATCAAAGGCCATCACAAAATATGAAGAAGGACGAAAATAACTGTATAGTAGGGTGGTCGCTACAAAATGAGGAACTGTATTGAAGGGTCGCCTCAAAATGAGGAACTGTATTGAAAGGTCGCTACAAAATGAGGAACTGTATTTAAGGGTCGCCACAACATGAGGAACTGTATTGAAAGGTCGCTACAACATGAGGAACTGTATTGAAAGGTTGCCAAAACATGAGGAACTGTATTGAAAGGTCGCTACAACATGAGGAACTGTATTAAAAGGGCACCAGAACATGAGGAACTGTATTGAAGGGTCGCCACAACATGAGGAACTGTATTGAAAGGTCGCCACAACATGAGGAACTGTATTGAAAGGTCGCCACAACACGAGGAACTGTATTGAAAGGTCGCCAGAACATGAAGAACTGTATTGAAAGGTTGCCACAACATGAGGAATGTATTGAAAGGTCGCCAGAACATGAGGAACTGTATTGAAGGGTCGCCACAACATGAAGAACTGTATTGAAAGGTTGCCACAACATGAGGAACTGTATTGAAAGGTCGCCACAATATGAGGAACTGTATTGAAAGGGCGCCAGAACATGAGGTACTGTATTGAAGGGTCGCCACAACATGAGAAACTGTATTGAAAGGTCGCCACAACATGAGGAACTGTATTGAAAGGTCGCCACAACATGAGGAACTGTATTGAAAGGTCGCCAGAACATGAAGAACTGTATTGAAAGGTTGCCACAACATGAGGAACTGTATTGAAAGGTCGCCAGAACATGAGGAACTGTATTGAAGGGTCGCCACAACATGAAGAACTGTATTGAAAGGTTGCCACAACATGAGGAACTGTACTGAAAGGTCGCCACAATATGAGGAACTGTATTGAAAGGTCGCCAGAACATGAGGAACTGTATTGAAGGGTCGCCACAACATGAGGAACTGTATTGAAGGGTCGCCACAACATGAGGAACTGTATTGAAGGGTCGCCATAACATGAGGAACTGTATTGAAGGGTCAAGGCATTAGGAAGGTTGAGAACCTTTACCTTAAGTGGTAGTGATTCCAATTCCTTGCTATACAATATAACAGTGGCATCCTGGGAAACACCCTCCCACCACCCCTTTTTCCGTAATTACACGATAGTTAAGATAAACTATTATCGTTTACAGTCAATACTCGCAGCCCGTGATGTTTCTGGCATCCCGTTTTTGTAGGGTAGACCCACTCCTACCCGCCCCCCCCCCCCCCCCCCCCCCGCCTCTTTATCCATGAAAAGCATCTCGTATAGGTCGATTAATTAGTAGCGTGTTCTTCGATGTCTGTAAGGCTACTTCTCTTAGTGTAGAGAGTGTAAAGCCACTTCTCCCAGTAAAGAGAGTGTAAAGACACTTCTCCCAGTAAAGAGAGTGCAAAGACACTTCTCCCAGTAAAGAGAGTGCAAAGCTACTTCTCCCAGTGTAGAGAGTGCACAACCTGTCACCCTAGTGTAGAGAGTACCAAGCTACTTCGCTAAATGCCCCCCCTCTCAACCAAGTAACAATCTCAAATCGGCACACCAGTACTGTGCTACCAGTGCCACACACTTAAATATTATCAAAAGCTACCAATGTAAGTAAATCACATATAAGTGAAATGAGATACCTGACGTCAGCCGCAAACTATACGAGACTGAATGCAAAATGATACCATGAGACTGTGGGAACTAAATTTTGCACCAAATTCAATGAGATACAGAAGATCAAATGGTTCGGTCATCCCGTTAGAATGCAGCAACGACTATTAACAATGACGCTATAGCTGACATAATATGGCCTGAGACAATGAGGATGCCCACGGAGAGCATGGACTGATACCATTAAAGACATTACACATCGATACAGAAGGACAATTTACAGTGCTACCCATAGAGCAGTGAAACGAACTGTTCTTTTCCACAGAGCTAAACGGCAGAAGTGAAAATTTACGATTATTATTATTATTATTATTATTATTATTATTATTATTATTATTATTGGGCGCAAAATCGCAGCCCTAACATAAAATTATCAGAGTTCTCAGCCATCCTCCCCTTCCACCTACTTTTTTTTAAAACCCCTGACTTGTTGAATCAGTGTTTCTAAGGGTTTACCGACTTCTATGTAAATGGCGGTTGATGTGAGAAAATGTCCCTAATGTAAAGTTCACATGTCTGGAAAGCTGCGCATATTCCCCGGCGTATGTAAATGATTCCAGGCGACTATGTCCCGAATGTAAATCCGCTATTAACCGGGCGTGTGTGCACGTAAACTGATGTTTGTTTATTTGTTATTCGCTAAACAACAAACAACTCGCTGTGTGAAGGCAGCCGAGTTGCCTGTTCCCACACGGGTCAAACAATGCTTGCTGTATCTTGTGATCTCCTCCTACCTGCTCGGGGCTACATTCCGGAACGGGGCAATTTCATCTGATTTGTCTTGATACAGCTTGTCCGTGGTTGTCTGGTAGGCAACAAGAAAAGTAATCAGAATAGTTCTTTACATCCAAGAAGAGAATGAGGGGGTGATTAAAAAAATGCCA